CTGTCGGGGCGGGAGCGGCCGGTGAGGGCGCCGTGGGGAGCCAAGATCTCCTCGAGCTGTGAGGGAACATGACGGACAATATTTCGCTAGTTTCGGCTTCCGGGTGCCTTTGCTAGGGTTTCGATTCGTCCTTCGACTCATGAAGGAATCACGACGGATAATGTTTGCTACGTTCGGCTTCTGGGGCCCCTTACCGGGCCTATGGACCGTTCAAAAAAGACTCTGGACGACGTTAAGAACAAATCATGACGTCGGTGGTCTGGGGTGGGGAAGGGATCGGCTGACTCTCTGGGTTTAGACCGGCGCTCGACGCAATGCTCGTGGGCGGGGCACACGTTGGGTTCTGCCGTATGTGTCATGGGCCTGGAGCTGTAAAGCAGCATCAAGCGAGACTTGAATCAGCACAGGTAGGGGAAAGGAGGAAGGGAAGATTGGCTGAAAGACAAAGTTGTTTCAACAATTTTCGGCATCGGGGGGCCCGCCGCACACTCAAACGTATATCGTCGATGAGAAACTATCCTAGACGGACAGTGGGAGGGGTCGGGGCTCTGACTTCCACCTGCTTCCGAAGTGGGAGGGTGTGGGGAGGGCTGACGGGGGGGGGGGGGGGGGAGAATGCACCAGCATGCCACAGGGTTCAGTTAGGGACTGCACAAGGCAGAGCGGCCGTGCTGTTTCCGCCTCTGCTTGGGCGGGGCCCGTTCCCCGCGGGCCCGCCTGTAGGGCGAGAGCGCCAGGAGGGGGAGGGGGGTAGGGGAGGGGGAGGGGCGGGGGGTAGGGGTGAGGCGATCCATGGGAAGGGAGCGGGGCGGCGGGGGATGGGGAATGGAAGGAAGGAGGCGCAATGGCGAAAAGAGAAACATAGAAGAACCAAGACACAGCCAGCACACACCCGCGATGCTGCTATGCGCCCTACTGTTTCGAGGATGGTGCACCCTGCTGCTCCAGTCCGGTGGGTCCGGCCGGATCCGGCGCTGCTGGCTGGTCCGGTGGGTCCGGTGGGTACGGTGAGTCCTGTGGGTCCGCTTGGTCCAGTGGGTCCGGTGAGTCCGGTGGGTCCGGCGAGTCCGGTGGGTCCAGCGCCTCCTCTTTTGCTGGTGCCGATGGGTCCATAGGAAGCGCCAAGAGGCTTCGAAGAGGCACCCAAGAAGCCTCAGCAGGCTCTCAAGATCCTTCAAAATTCAAAATTGCCTTCAGGGGGTCCTGAGAGCACTCCGAAGAGACCCGAAGAAGAATCCCTGAGGACTCTGACCGGGATGGGCGAAAGCCCATCAGGATGAATATGGGCTCTAAGAGGGGCCAAGAGGCCGACCTCCATGACGGTTGAAAAGGACCCCGATTAACCGAAAGATGGCTCCGAGAAGTCTGAGATGGCCCACAGACGGCTGAAGACGTCTCCACCCCCCCAGAGGCAAGCATCGTCACAGCTCCTTACGACAACTGGTATGTTTAGCATATTCGTCTCTAGGGATTTGACAACGTCCAGGACGGTCGAAGATGCCATCAAGATCGCCCCAAGACGGCCTAAGAGTTTCCCAACAGGGCTCCAAGACGACACAGGGGAGCTCCAAGATGGCCCGAGGGGCTTGCAACAAAGCCCAAGTGGGTTCCATCATCGCAAGCGTCAGCATCCCATAAGCATCAAAATCCGCATCCAGACCATCATCGTCATCATCATCGTGAACGTCGACATCAGCAACAATCACGCCATCAGCATCATCATCATGAGGTGTATAATCATAATCACAGTGTTAAGCGTCATCGTCATCGTCCTCAACATCGTCACAATTAGCGCCATCAGTACCTGCATCGTCAACCGCGTCACTACTAGCATGAGCAGGCACCTCCGCCATATCATTGCAAAAAACGATAAGCACCCTCATAATCATGTCTATCGCCGTCAACATGAGCATCGCCCTCGTCATTCAGATGGCCCTTCGGATCCGTCGTCGTCAACAGCATCATTGTCATGAGTACCAACACCAGCGACACACACACATGAGCATCGTAAGTGACACTATTCCAATCAGCATTTACATCCGGACCCAAATCTTCCTACTCATCATTATCGTGTACGCGGCCATCCGCAGCATTCACGTCATCATCGTATTTATCATCATCCATATCATTAACACAATTGTAACCACCATCACAAGCACAATCGTAACAATGAGTGTCATTAGCAGTACCTCCGTCGACAAGATCATTGCCACGATCGCCCAAACCTTCTCATCATCATAAGCACAAGCTTCGGCCACATCATCATCATAATCATCATCATCGTCATCATCATCGTTGTCGCCATCATCATCATCATCATCATCATCATCATCATCATCATCATCATCATCATCATCATCATCATCATCGGCATCACCACCACGAACACAAGACCTCCGGGGACATCGGGGGACCTCTGGGGGTTGAGAGTCAGGCAGGAGCAAAACATACCATCAACAACATCCTTGTTCAACATACGCATTTTCATAATACGCGCCGTCACCCTAATCAGCATCAACATCCATAGTCAAACATTCTCATTCTGATGGTGACCTCTATAACATGTTACTGTATCCTCTACATGTTCTTTTCTCTTCATCCTCACGAACTACATTGATTTTGTCGTCCTCCTCCTCGCTTTTTTCCCTGATGTAATCCATCGCCAGGCATCGCATCCCACGAAGAGCATTCACAAAGCTGGTGCGCACGAACGCTCCACTGCACTCCCCACGGGTCTGGCAAATCTGGCTGCTCTGGTGGATTCGGGAATCTGGTGAATGCCGCAAATCTGGTCCGGTGAAGCCGGTGACTCCGGTGAGTCCGGTGAGTCCGGTGAGTCCGGCGGGTCTGGTGGGTCCGGTGGGTCCAGTGGGTCCGGTGGGTCCAGTGGGTCCGGTGGGTCCGGTGAGTCCAGTGAATCCGGCGAATCCGGCGTGTCCGTTGAGTCCGGTGAGTCTGGCGCGGCGGCTTGCGCAGCAGGGATGACCATTCTGACTGTTTCGAGTCGCCTCTTTGCGAATCACTTGATGCAAACATGCTTGCCAGCTGATCCCCCCCAACAATGCGTCCGTTTGCACACCCGTCGTACTATATACATGTGGACTTACCGGGTACCACAAATGTGGTGCAAACCAGGGGATTGATTCAAGTTTGAAGAACTTGGAGTTGTCAGCTCCACTGCCTCAACAATAATTCCAGTCTCCAACCCGCAACTCGGTTTGCAAAACAGCGCGTGCTAGAGGCCGCGTTGGAGTGCGGGCAGTTCAATGCGGGTCGGTGGCGCGGGCGAGAGAGGCGGCAGGATGACGTAGACGACGGCGGCAAAGATGACGATAGTAAAGAAAGTGGTGGTGATGATGTCTGACGGCAAGGCCAATGACGGCACCGATGCTGGCAACGCTGATGACGACGGTGGTGTCCATGTGTCGCTGATGAGAATTAAGAGCGTTTCGCCATGCGCGCTCGGCCGACGCGTGCGATTGGCCCGCATAATAATATTTGACGAGGACCGTGACCCCAAACACGCGCGCAAGGGCGTCCGAATGAATTCAACATGCGCGCGCGAGACTCCCGCGCGGTCCCATGTGAAGCAAGTTTTGGAATACAACTAGCCTGAGCGAGCGCATATTGTGTTGAACATGTGTTGAGCAACCGTTGGGCTGCCCATAGGTTTTCGGGAACCTCAATCTTGAAACCATTACCAAAACGCAGAGTTTGAACGGGTTTCGACATGCGCGCGTGACGATCAGGCGGCTGGAGGCGCGGCGGGGGCCGCTACGCTGGGCTAATGTGGCACAGCCCGGGGCTCGGGCTGCCGACGGTTTCGCCCCCCCACCCCCCCACCCCCAGTTTCCTCCCGCATCGTTCTCCCTCCTCCTCTCCTACGTCCATTTGGCCAGGGGGCCCGCTTACGCCTGTTTAAATAATTGACTTCGTCAGATTTGTTGCAAGAGGCCCTTGGGACATGAAATGCCGTGACAGACGAGCGCTCGCATACTATTGCTTCACGGCGGTTAGGGGGGGTCGATGACGGGACTCCTCGGCATCGCATGCAGAACGAACGATGCGACAAAACAGCATGCAATTTGCCGTGCCCCGGGTGAAGGGGGCGCGATCGCCCCGAGCGGGGTGGCGGCGGTGGGGTTTATGTTTTTTCCCCCCAAGAAGAGAAAAGACGCGGTGCTCTCTGTCCTCAAATATGGCGCGATAAATTTACTTTGGGCCACTTGGGAAGGAGGGCGAAGGGCGGGGGGGAGGTGGCCCCATCCGCCCCTCCTTCGCGCGCGCCGAGGCGCGCGCAAGTCTTCTCCACCTCGGGCACGCGCGACCGCCGCACCTGGGTGGAGGTCGCGGGAGCGAGGGCGGCCGCCTCGCCCCGCGACGACGGGCGGCCGAAGCGGGCGCGCCTGGCCCGAACTTTAGAGCGCAGGCGACGCGCGTGCAGACCGGCAATTCCCGCCGCCGCTCGACCTCGGGGATTCGGCGCCGACCATGTCGACCCCCTTCCGCGCGCCACCCGGCCCGGGGAAAGGCGCGGTAGTTCCCGCGTCCGCGGGCGCAAGAAGCAGCGTCGGATGCCATCGGGGACCATGCGAGCTAGCGCGCAACTCGACGCTGCCTGCTGGAATCGATTTTGCGCCAGCCAGGCTTGATAATAAGTGCGGACCAGCGCGGAAGCGCGGGCGGGGCGGAGACGTTCGGCGGCGGCCTCCAGGGCTGCCCAATCGGCGCGGCCCACGCGGACCACGTCCGAGGGGGGCCAGGCTAGTAGGCGGCGGCGGATAGAGGGCCCGAACGGCATCGGCCGGAAAAATAAGCCGGCGAGAGGGGGGGGGGGCCCCAGTGCCCCTTGAATCTTGCGCCGCGGGAGGCGCCCACCGTCCGCGCGGGCCCCCGCGCGTCTGTCCGCGCGCTTCCAAGGGCCCCTGCTCCATCTGGATGGGCGGGGGGCCCAGGCTGTCAGCGGCAGCGGATCTCAACCGCTGGCGCAGCGCGGGCCC